CGCTACTATTATTGCACCACTTTAAGGGTGATAAAGGTGGAATTTGCCCTCTAAGACACAGGCAGCATATCTCAGGTAAAATGAGTTAATTGTGATATTTTGTCATATCACAGGTCACACTGTGGTTTCAGTTGTATTCTTATCACACTTTTACCTCCCCATGTGTTTTGCTAATATAAGACATATTAGATAGTATTAGTCTATCCTGACTGAATCAGTAATACGAGAGTATACTCTAAAGAAACATGATGATCGTGCACTAGTTTCTCCACTTTAATTGTTCTTTGTTTTTTCAGTGCACAAGTCGCAACCACTTCCTCCCACAAACATTTTTTTCTGTCATTTAATCTTGTTTAAACAGACAAGACTCAGAGACGATGTAACTTTATGCTCAAGCTGCTGTGATAACTGATCCAAAATCTGGTCTGAAGAACTGACATATTCATATTCGTCTACAGATTGATCTGGCTAAAATGATAAATCACTGTCAGAGGTCAGGCCCATGGAGCCACATGTGTCTCGTTCTACTTTTTTTTTTCTCCACTATGTTCCCAAGCTAGTGTCTGCTAGTCGCAGTGTGTGTTTTATAGTCAGTTACTGGGTTTGTGACTGACTTTTAGTGGTAAGCAGGAAGTCTAGAGTGAATTATAAGTAAAAATGTGGCTTGTAAAACCAATGAAATAAGATGGAGACAAAAAGGCTCACAATTTGTTGCAGCCACACTTACATTAAAGTACATTGATGCAGTTAGTTAAGTTGACTTCATAAGTATTATTTTGTACCTAGAGAACACGGTTTGGATTCCTTATTGCATAATGGTATTTGTCTCTACAATTACACTTTGAAATGTAATAGAATGGGAAGTGCTAATACTCAAAACAGAGCGTGAGTTCTTCTAGTTTAGTAATTTTCTCCATTGTTGTGTTGTCGCAGATATATATTTTCACGCATTAATATTTTTCCTGTGATCTATGTTTGTGTTACAGCTCAGTCTTATCTCTGTTCAACAGGGTTAAGCTCAATTTAGCTTAACTTCAGCCACAACTCAAGAGATTATCGCACATTGTAGGTCAAAGGTATGAAAAGAAACAGAAACAAATGAAGAAAGGACTCTTAATGTTTCCATTAAAGATGGGACATCAAACATGCTTAGTTTACTATACATATTCCCAGTCTTTAATTCAGTGAGAAACTTGTAAGAAGTGCAGAATGCTAGAATGGGTTGATGACACCGATGTTGTTCAGGCTGCAGCTTATTTATATAAGAAAGACTTCAAAACGGTTTTAGCAATTTTTCTTTAGCTTTTTATTTGTTTGTTTGTTTTGTGATAAACTTGTGTGTCTGCACATTTTAAATTGGAAAGCACCCTTTTTTTGCTCATCCGACCTTACTATGAGATCTTTTGTGTGTGTGTGTGTGTGTGTGTGTGTGTGTGTGTGTGTCATTGTGCAAAACGTGGGCATGCAAATACACATAGACATCCCCCATCTCAAATGGCAAAATGTTTGACCTGACCAACCCTAAAGCTGTTTGTATAGCATGCAAAATCCTGGGTTTTGGAATCTGTCCATCATGCTGTTTACAGCCCAGCACTGGATTTTCAGTTGGCCTGTCTTCCATCCTTGTCTTTCAGGCATCTGGTATGCTTGCAGTTGTGGAGGGATGGCACATGAATTCTCACCCAGCTGCTTTGTTTGGGGTTTTGTGGCTGAAAGGCTTTGTGCTCACACCAAGCTGCTGATGAAGGCATGGTGGAAACGCTTCTTTTTTGTTGTTGTGAGCAAAAGAACCTCTGTTCTGTATTCTGGATGCTTTTCAATACCACTTGAACTCATTGGTCTAGTTCATCTAAAGTAATCTGTGCATGACTACCTAAGAGGCAGCACAAGCACAAAGCTTCAAAGAAATAGCAGGAAAATCTCAATTTCACCAAATTTTTTGGCATGGCAACAAACAAGCTAGCATTTCTGCCTTGTGGCCTTCATCAGAGCATGAAACAAAACTGAAGGTTGTAATATTTACAGCAATCTGACATTGTTTCTGATCTCATGTGACGACATTCATACATTTTAAAACAGTGCAGAGTGAATACAGCCGGGGTTAAAGTTTTCTATACTATTACATTTCATATATATACTTATTCAGAGAAGATCTGAGCTAAAATCATTTTTCAGCCCAGCAGGTGTCATTGTGTTTAGTGATGAGATCCAACATCTATTTATTTGATAAAATTCCCTGGCAGAAATAGCAGAAAGAATTACATGTTCAAGTCCAGTGAACAGCAGGAGGAGCAGCAGGAGAGCCATGATTGGCTTCATAGTTGTGTTTGGCTAAGACAGACTCTATGTGCCCAGTTCTGTAACTCTTGTTTGAATATTCTACTTAACATCTAAAGTGTTGTTACACTCACTGCATTTTCCACATCTGAAGTTTCCTTTCGTGTATGTTTTGGTTTGATAGGCTGAAAAGTGTGTTTACAATTATCTCTGATTGTTCAAGCACTTCAAAATCACAGTGATTCCACTCAGATTTTAAGATGTGTCAGTATTAGTAATGTCTCTGAGTTTCTTGTGACAGCAGTTAAATTAAGTGAAGAAAATTATTCTTTCCAGTTGATATTTTAGGTGTAAGCAGTTCAGATTTTAAAGCATTATTGTAGGCAGTGCTGATTATTGATCGATGATACGTTATTTCATTAAATCTTGATTTCATCTGATTGCCATGCTTTAGAATATTGGGAGGTAGACTACAGGAATCACTTTGGGAAACATTTGAAAATTGAAATTAAAACAGCTTCATTTGGACTGCAAGCATAAAGACTCAGTGTCAGTGTTGATTTTGTATGATTTTTCAAGCAATTTAGTCCATCTTTGTCTCTTTAAAGAAATGAGGTGTTGATGCTACAATATCTTTTAGAAAAAACTTCAGTAGAGGTTCAGTAATAGATTTTATACCAGAGACAATAGTTCTTGATTAGGAATTGTACTGTTGCACTTTGGGTGTATTGCACTAAGAGGAATTCAATCTCTCGTGTAGCTCGTGAGAGCTACGCTAGCATGCATGAAGAGACTTTTAATTTAACTTTTGATTTCTTTCACTGGATTATTTTTTAGCTCTTTATAGCACTCTCTATGCTCACTATCCCACTGCTTCTTTTGATACAATGTAGCTTTTTTTTTCTTTTACTAATATGATGGATTTGGGTCCTCCATAGTTAGGGATGATACTGACATCTAGTGGTAGTGCATATGTATTACCGTTAAGCGTGTGTTAATCCCACTATTTTCAACAACCTAGCTTTGCTGCACTCTACTGGCAATACTGAGGCAATGCAGAGTGTTGCCTAGGAATACATTTTACATAATAGGCATATTAAAAATTGCTGAAACTATGTCTTGTAAAAAAAAAATGCTTTACAAACTGCTTTATAACAAGTAACTGTGGAGTAATTTGTGAACCCAGAAGAGATTACCAGCATCAAAAACATGGGATTTTGAGAAAAAGATAACTAGGTTAAACTCAGGAAACAGATGGAAGAAAATGGGTGGTCTAATGACCAGATACATGGGAAAGTAGATAGACACAAAAAATGTGTTGGTTCTCCTGAACTGACCACAGAGGATTAAGGCTGCAAGCGATGAGCCTTCATCAAACTGCGTAAATCTCTGGCACACATATTACACCCAATACACATGTATATAAAAAATGCAGTATATATAACAACAGTGCTTCACATCTGGGATTCGGTTTCAACAAAGAACAGTAGATGAATTGGACTGGACAAAATAATCAAACAATGATCCTAAGAAAATAAAATACCAGTATTTTTATTTCTATAGGGAAAGGAATAAGCTTTGATGGTTTTAGAACATAATAGATGGTGGGCAATTGTAAGGGAAACAATTAAAAAGCTGTGGTGAAGAGAATCATCTTTAAAAGCACAGATATAACAAGATAGTTTCTTAAACATATTCCTCATACCAAAAAAAAAAAGCTTTTCAATTGTGCCACAAGACTGAAGCGAGACTCCGTCAAGATTAATAACACTGGCCCTATCTTTGGTGCCATCTGGTGGCTTTAGAGAACTTTATTTATATAACTTCTACTTAATCAGGGTTGAGATCAAAGTCAAGAATATAAACAGACAAGCAGCAAAATCACAGACACCGATGAGCAGAAGGCAGATGATGGTGAAGACTTACGTTCAGAGACAGATGCTGCAGGTGAGCATCTGCACCACATCAATGCTCCCACCGCTTCACGAGCAACACAGTTATGATTATCAGTATAATCAGCAATTTCATAAAGCTATAATTATTTTTAGTAGCACTAGTAGTAGTTGTTGTGGTAGTGTCTATATACTAAGTCAGAAGTTTACATCATACAGTTACACTCACTGGTTTTATTATACACCCCTGCAATTTTACTTTCTAAAATGTTTTCGCATGCACTGTTATGTGCCTCTCTTTTCACTTTTCTCTATCCCAGCATGTCTCCATGTGTTTTAATTTTTTTAATCGCCTTTTTTTTTGTCTCACAGTGACTAGTTGTGTAAAATAAATATTCAACTTCTATTTCTTCTACTTGCAGCCCCATGCTCTCGTAGCCTGTCAGCATAGTTCTTTTCTTCTAATCTGAACTGCTGGGGATTAAACAGACAGCCAACTCTTCATCCATAATTCTACCACCCCCTCCCTCCCTCCCTCCCTCTCTCTCTATCTCTCTCTCTTTCTGACTTAGAGACATACACACACACACAAAGCTTTGCCAGACTGGTCATTTGGAAACCATAAGCACGATGTTTGTTTGAGAGAGAGGGGTAGGTGGGTGGGATGGATTAGATTAAGTTGGTCCAAATTCAAGGGATCACTTGTAGCAAAAGGGGGTTACAGATAAAGGGAAAAACAGAGCGCATGCCCGTGTCTGTGTGTGATAGAGAGAGACAGAGAGGGATAGAAAGGGAGAGAGAAAATGGTCGAGTCATGCAATCAGAGCCAGAGTCTGGCGCAGCGGGTTGTTTCAGCTCAGATATGACCCAACTCTCCCACCCCAACCCGTCAATCTCCATCACCCTGCCCCGATTCCATAATATCACCGTAAACATTTCAAATCTCATCATGGCAGCCGCCAACAACCCATAGGAGTTTAGGACTGAATGTGGCATCATATACACACCACTGGACCAATAGGATCTGGGACCGAAGCACATGCACTGAGAGGAGTCGCTTTTTGTAGTAGAGGTGCAAGTGGAAACATTTGCCCTCCTCCTTCCTGGGCGATAAAAGGCGTTGCCACCTAGGATGCATTGGATCTAGTATGGATTTTGGAGTTTCATGTGACGTTTGAACAGAGAAGGGTGAGAAAGAGGAAAAGAGGAGGATAAACTTTGGAGAAGTGTGAGGACCAGCAAGGAGGGAAGGGAGGGGGGAAGACAGGGAGAAGAGGGCAGGGTGATGGGAAACACCAACCAGACTTCTAAAAAGAACAGTAAAAAGAAGAAGGTAAGGAAACATTTTGTTGTTCTTGGATAACTAAAACTAGGATTTCATAGCAATTTCCTATTTCATCTCTACTTGACACAAGAGACGTTTCAAATTTGCTTTTATTTGCAATATACAAAATAAATAAATCTATTGAAAATGTCTGTAACAGTACAAAAAATGGCAAATTTGCCAAAATTTAGGTAATAGCTTTATGTGTTTCATAATCCGATTGGTTCCTCTCCTCTAAGGTAATGTCACCCATAGAACAAAGTGGTACCCCATTGGCTGCTGCCATGCTGGGGGGACTGGGTGATGCAGGGGAGATGGACACAGAGGATGAGGAGGAAGGAGGGAACGAGCGTGAGTTTGATGAACCCCTGTGCGCTCTGGTTAAGAACTGCAACATGCTGCATAACATAGTGGGGCCTGCATGTATCTTCCTCAGACAGGGCTTCGCCCAAAGTCAGCTTGTATGTATTTACCCACACTACAAACACACACCACACAAACATACAGAACTGCCAGAATTGTCATTGCCAAAATCTCCCATAAATCCTTTCATCCATCCATTTCCAAAGTGCCATCCAAAGGAAGGTTAAGGTGAAGCTGAGGTCATCGTCACGGCTCCTCTGCCCTTCATCTCCACCAATCACGAAATGAAACTGTGACTGCATCCACTTACCCTATATTCACTAACATCATATCTATAGAAATGTTTTAAAATGTTCTGAGGGCCTCTTACTTACAAACTTATATGTATTCTACTATTTTGAGTAAAGTTATTGTACACTGAAATTACTTTTTACACAAAGTAGCCAAAGTAAATTGAATAAAAACATGTGAGAAAGGACATGTTTTGGTCATTCTCATGTCAGTTGAGCTTAGTGAGATAGACATCTAAACATCAAAGGCTGTGACTACACATGAAAAAAACACTTCATATTATAATTAAAAGATAATAATCACTAAGCCTCGAACTAAAACTAACAAAAAACAAAAAATTAGCAAAGAATTAAAATGAAATAAGAAATAAAAACTGTTGAAACGTATAAAACTACGTTTTTTCACAGCTATAAAAGAAGGATAATGATAACGAGACCTGATACGTGACACAAAAATTTGTCCAGATTCAGCTCCATAGTCTTGGAGTCTTCTATGCGCACCTCTTATTACAAATTAATGTCAAAGTGGAAATGACACAGACAAGGAACTAGTTTAAAAGCGCTCCTAGAACAGTGGTGTATGATCAGAGGTGATACTGGATGCCATTTGAAGTGAAAATGGGCAAGAAGTGTAAAAGTATGAAAAAAGAGTATTCAGAATGTGGTTATGTAAATACTATTTTCTTTCTTTCTATTTTCTTTGCTTTATTGGTCGTAAGGTGAATGAGAGTTTCTGTGAGAATGCTAAAATCTGTCTCTCTGTGTTAGCCGTATAACAGACCGCGGTGTACCCCTCCTCTCACCCTAAAAAATCTTTTTGGGTGTGCGATTTGAAATAGTCTATTGATATATTTAACTATAGCCTTGCAGAGTCACTGTCTCGTTTATCAACTGATTGACAACCACAGTTTAAATTTGCAGTTTACATTAGCATGTCTTTCACAGCAAGCAGTATATGATAAAAATTGAACAAATGGCTATGTCTAATGTGAAAGTGGTCCCTTGCAGTTCCACACTCAGTCTCTGCAGTTCGCTTAAGATTTATAAGACGTTTTAGCTGATTGCTTTGCTTTTATGACACGCAAGTTGCACCAGCTGCAGTGGACAGCTGTTTCCAGAGGAAATACACTGATAAACCTTCTGTACACCACTTTCACAGCACCATCAAGGAAGTGCTTAATGAATATAGTGAGGCGTTTAGCAGCTAAAATGCTAGGTAATTTTCCTCAGGAGTTTGGACTATGTCTTGATCCAGCCTCACTCATTTCATATGCCACATTTTCAGCCACAGCAGGCAACCATCAAATGCATGTAGTGGAGCATTCAGCAGACAAACAGCTTGACATTTCAGTCAGACACCAAAAAACAAGCTAAAAGAAGAGTGAACATTAGTCTTTCAGAAACATTACTCCATACTGTGTGATTAAAAAAAATGTTGCTTTGAATCTGCCGAATGTGTAAACAGGCAAATAATTTTGATAAATTTTGATATTTTTGAAAATCTTGTGTTAATACAGGCAAACTTATTTTCCAGCCAACTTCAGCAAATCTTAAATTAGTCAAATCAGAATATTGTCATTTTGAGTAAAGACTACATAAAAGACTACATAGACTAGTCTAAAAAGGGAAGCCAATGTGTTAGTGTCTTAAACCTGCATTCTTTCTAATGGTGATCAGCACAGAGTAAGTTTGTTAATACTGAAGTCCATTACAGTCACTGCGTTACACACTTGATCTCTGACCTCTTAAATGCTTTCCGTAGTTCATTTTCTCAATTGCACAGCTACAATTGCAACGTAGAGTTCATTTTATACATTTTAGTCCTAATTAAGGTATAATACACAAATAAGCAGGGTGTGTTTTAGGGCAGGCCTACCTTGGGGTTGACAAATCACTAACATAAGAGTGTACAGTGTCTGTGTTTCCATAATCAGATCAATGTTGTTCATCATCTCTGGGTTCAAAAATCCAAAATACAACTTCACAAAACATGACTTCATATTTTGTCTTAATTTTTATATACATTTTTTTTAGCAGTATTAGCAATGCTATCTGTAAGTTTAACTACCATCATAGTTATATTTCAAAGTGGCCAGGTCAATTCTCTTGCATATGAATGAATGAATGAATGAATAGATAAATAAATATGAAATCTCGTTATTAGCTTTAGATGGGGACTGTTGACACTGATAAAACTGAGTTCTATAACATGTGCTTAATCTTGTAAACGGGTTTATTTCAACCCAAACCATAACTTGAACCCCAATCAAGTTTTTTTTGTTTTTTGTTGGGGTTTTTTTGGCTAAACCTAAGCAAACGAGGACTGAAAGCAAAACTTGTCTCACATAAGATTTAAACCTAAATCTCGTGGCATTTTCATCCTGTTGTGTCGTGCTACATGCCTTCCTTCACAAACTTTTATTGTTGCTCAGTTTCTGCAGTCTTCTAAAGTCACGATTTAGCAGTAGTAACTGTTGTAGATTGCTAATGGACCACAAAAAACAAAGGTAGGAGAAAACCGTTGCCTTTGTCTGTGGATAAATCTGTCACAAATTTTAGCAAAAGGTACGACAAAAAAAAAAAAAAAAAGTGGTACACGTTTTTCTGTTCAGCCTGTGCAGGTGTGTTAATGTTCGTTTAATCAAAAGCCAGCTGGACTGCAGATGCAGATAAGAAAAAAAAATTGCTGGCAGATAGAGAAATGAAAAACCGATAAGCCTTCATGATTTGTAATACAATTTACCGCTGTAATCTCCCTGCCACTGTTCGCTCTCCTGCATCCTCTAATCCAGGGCTGTATTATTCCTGCTGATGATGTCACAATCTCGAAGAACACATCACGTACAAATTTATCCTGGTGTCACCTTGCATTGCTTTAGCCAATTCAACAACAACCGTAAATGGTGTTTTATGTTGAATCAGAATCAGAATTAGACTATTTTATTAATCACTAAAGAAATTATGCATGTGTTTGTTACTGCATTAATTTTTAGTTTAAGTCATAACTCACTCTTATTTCTATGCTTTCATTTTCACTTTATTTTTTAAAGTGGCAATTCAATATTTCACCAGTTTACTCAGCATATGATGTAATTCGTTTTTCTTTCTTTCTTATAACTTTGTGACATGCTGCATGTTTGGAAGGTAGATCTTTTAGGTGGTATGTCATTATGAATCTGCTGTTAGTACATTGTATTTCAAAAGCTTGTTGTGGAGCATATGCACAGCAGACTTTCTCCAACACGGGCAGAATGAGACTGGACATGAATGCTGCTGGGTAGCAGCAGTTTTCAACTAAAAAGGCTATTAGGGTCAGTCAGATCAAAAACCCAATAATCCTCTAATAGAATCTCTGGCTGAGCAGATGAACATAGAACAAACAAAATGTTTCACAGGATTGAGAGGAGTGGAGGAGTAAAAGCACAAGAAGCAAAAATGTTTCCAGCATTTTGTGTGACTGAAATAGAGCAGATTCAAATTATAACTTGTCTGACTATTCATTTCTCTTTATGTATGCCCTTTCTTCTTCCACACCACCGCAGGACAGAGATCTACGACCAGAAGAGATGGAAGGTACAGATTCTTAATCCAGATTCTTAATCCTCACCTTGTCTCTCAGTCCATTCATTCCACTCTGTTCTTTTTCATCTAACTTCCTTTCAAACGTTCTATTTAACTGTGAACATTTTTTTTAATTTCCCTGTCTTGCATTGAAATGTGTAAGAACAAAGTGAAGGATTATCTTTCACAGGGAGGAATAATCCTTCACAATTTAACTTCCACTCATACATTGCTTCTATTCCTCAGTAGTGGCTCACAATTTAACAGCGTACATGCACATGAAAATGTCATTTCTATTTTAAATATAGATTCTATGACTTTGGTTTAGTGTAGTAGAAACTTGATATATTTCTTCTGCAATGATTTAATGGTGACAGGGGGATCTGTGTCACCATCTGTTCAGGTTCAGGTTAATTTTATTTGGACAAGTTTGGATATGGACTGCAATCATCCATGTCACACTGTTCACAAACAACAGGCAGCAGAGTGCAAAGTACTCAGTGTTATAATGAGTACTTAAATGTAAGATTGAAGAAGAAAGAAAAAAGAAAGGCTTCATGCAAATAATGAGATGAAAGTTTAAAAGCTCATTCAAAACATTAATGCCTCATAAGAAAGTGGTGCAAGAATAAAAAGTTTGCAAATGAAATAGAAAGTCCCAGGAGCAATTTAAAAATATAATGTTTCACAATCTTTGCAGCTTCAGTTTCTGTTTTTACATTTTTATTGATATAATGATGAACGACCGTAAGTATTTCATAAGTTTTAAAGAATTCAATAGGGGGCAAAAATATCATATTTATGCAAAAAAAAAAAAAATTGACTATTTGCAGTGTTGCCAACAAACTGTGATCATCTTCAAGCACTGATAAGACAGAAATCAGTTATTTGGTCCAAAGATTGTATTCAGCATGTCACAGAAAACAGAGAAGTCCGTGAAACATTATTGAAAAATTATTTTTTTACTATGTCATACTAACAACAAGTCAAAAATAATTCAAATAAAAACTAAAGCAATTTGGAAGTATTAAAAAAAACAACTCTCAGACAGATACCCCATCCCCATGTCAATGTACACTCACTGATCCAGGGCAGCTGAGACTGAAACTGTGTCTTGTTTTCTCAAGAAAGCAAATGTACTCTGTCATACTTTTGCCCAACGGCAAATATTTCGCATAATCTGTATTGATGTGTTCTACTTGCAGAGTTGCGTGAGGCCTTCAGAGAATTTGACAAAGATAAGGACGGCTTCATCAGCTGTAAGGACCTGGGCGAGTGCATGAGGACTATGGGATACATGCCAACAGAGATGGAACTTATCGAACTCAGCCAGCAAATCTGTGAGTCCTGAACACAGACAGATAATTCTGTAATTCCCTAAAATCTTTCACTCGGAAGACCAGTGAAGGAGCACCAGGATAAAGCAGAACTGCAAAGCAGTTGATGTCCAAAATGTCTGTTTATCCTTTCTTCACCTGTAAATCTGTTAAGTCTGATGAACTGCCAAAATGTTCTCCTTACATTAACTAGCAATGATTTAATTAATTTCTTTACAAATAACTTTTTAACTATTGGAGAAATAAATATTTACTGGTACTGTCATTAAGTACAGCATCTCTGTTAAATGCTGATATGAGTAAACTTCATATCAGCAATGTATCAATGTGTCTTCTAGACCCTACAAAACTGCTCAAAGACATTTTACCATGAATTAAAACATAAATCTTACATCATTTCACATTTATAACCTTATTTATTTCCAAAATTCCTGAAAGCTGTCAAGTAGTTAAATGAGCTTTTGAAAAGGTTTCTTTGAAGAGTTACAGTCAGGATTTAGAGTGCATCATAGCACAGAAATAGTGTAGTGAATTATATGGATGATGAATCATCTTCTTAGGAACTGTCCTGCAGTGGTTTGAATCACTGCAGTATAGTTTGTGCATGTAAATGGCGAGTCTTCCTCACATGCAAATGTTAATCACAGTTCCACAGGGTTCTGTGCTAGGACCATAACTTTTTACATTATAGATGCTTCCCTTACAGTATTATTATAAAACACTCCATTTTCATTCCTATGCAGATGACACACAGTTTTAATTAACCATAAAGCCAGATGATACAAATAAACTAGTTAAATTATAGACATGTCTTAAACACAGCTAATGGCTGCAGTGGACAGTTTTCATTGGATATTTTCAAATCACTACAAATATGCTCTTATTATGACTTCTGTTTATAACATATTGACGTGGGTCTGCTAAGCTCTGTCTTATATGCATGCACAATTAACTCCGTACCACTGGATCTTCAGTAAATAATCCAATTTGTTATTTACTTGTATATACTATGCATGCATATTTATCTTTCTTCTAGGTGGTGGCAGAGTGGATTTTGAGGATTTTGTGGAACTGATGGGCCCCAAAATGCTTGCAGAGACTGCAGACATGATTGGGGTTAAAGAGTTACGGGACGCCTTCAAAGAGGTCTGCAATTTTATTTTAGCAAAACAGAAAACCATATCCAGGCTTAAACTAGGGTTTAGAAATGAATGCGGGTTTAGCATACATTAGGAGTTTTTTCTCCTAATGTATGCTATTTAAGGTGAAACAAATGACTGAGGTCCATACCTCAGTCATGCCAAAGTTGGGCATACAATGTGCGATTGTTTCAGTTGCGTTATTCAGCTCCTGCTCAAACTGTACGATTGAATCGCAGGGGTGAGAAGTTTGTAGGTGACGATGCACACTGTGCATCCATAACAGCTTATAACACAAAATCTGTCTCTCGCTCTCCCTCTCTCTCTTTAACTGACACAGACACACACACCACCATCAACTTTGTTAAATTGCTAATGAAAAACATTGACTAGCAATGAGCAGAAATGTCCATCCAACTCTTTTCACGGTTGGTCCGGTCATGATAATTTTGTGAGGCTGCCACATCGAAAAGGCTCAGATGAGCTTGCCAAAGTTCTACACGCTGCACTGCCATGCTACTCCGTTTCTGTTTGCGCATGCACAGTGTGAGAGGCTGCGTTGACACCCTCATGCGGGCCGACAGGATTTCAAACAGGTTTGATTTTCTTGCGACTATACGATTGATGATTGGGAGCTGGTCGTGAGGTGTTAATCGCTTCTCGTTACCCCATGTATACTACACGATGCACGACACAGGAGAAACTCGGGCCGATCCCCAAAACGACTGAAAAATCTGCTCAAAATGGGCCAAAAATCGCACAGTGTATGCCCAGCTTAACCTGAGTAGGCCTTTTCTCAAACTGACACTCCAAAATGTTTTTGTTTTGCTTTTTGTAAATGCTTATTTTCCTTTTAAAGTCCTTCCATTCTGCTTTCTAGTTTGACTCTGATGGCGATGGTCAGATCAGCCTTGGAGAGCTGAGGGAAGCCATGAAGAAGCTAATGGGTGAGCAGCTCAACCACCGCGAGATTGATGAGATCCTGCGAGATGTTGACCTCAACGGGGATGGACAGGTGGACTTTGAAGGTGATACAATTTATCTCTTACTTAAGATCGGTTGTGGTGATGTGTTTGT